ACATGGAAGGACAGAGGCAAGAAATGTTCACCCTCAATTTTCCACCTTCCATCTGCTTAGTGAGACATGGAGGGGGCTGGATATCGGCTGCCCACCAGTAATGTTTTCAATCCTACAAGAACTGGTAATATTTTCAGTGGAACTGATTTGCAATTCTGTGGGCCGATGCTGGCCCTGAGCCTCCTCTGCTGCCTCCTGAGGATGCTCCTGTGCTTCTTCTCCCATGGAGGACACAAGCCTGCTCACTCCAATTACAGTTCATGCAATGCCACACTGTGTTTTGAGCAGGCAGGTCCAAATTACTTAGGGGATTGTGTCATGCTTGATCTGAACAGCAAAACTGATCCAGAAATCAGATAAAGCAATACAAACCACACGGCACAGCTACAATTCAATTTCTGTGATGTCTCTCCATGAGTAGGACAGATGAGCCCCCACTCCTCTGAATTTCTGCAGTAAGTTTATGGCTACTTCTATCAGCAGAACTTCTCAAGGACTAACCCAAAAAACAAGTAGAGCATCTTTCAGTCTTGCTTGAGGGAGTAAGGCCTGATGGCTGGTAATTTCAGCCTTCAGAATCATTCCTTGGGGTTTTTTTTCCCCCCAGGATCTTTTAGATATTTTAGATGAAGGAAAACCCTTCTTCTTTTGTGGCTCTTAAAACTGGGTAAAGGGTGATAAGCCCCAAATCCAAACTGCCACAGTGCAGCTTTGGTGAAGATGCCAGAGGGACATTACATAAAACTTTGATCATACAACTCAGCTTTTCTGTGTGCTGAACAATGAAATCCTAAAATCAGCTGCCTGGACTGACATGGAAGATGGAAAACTATCCTAAAGATGAGGCTAGGGTATCACTGCCTATCAGAAAGGCAGGGAGTTGTCCTGCTGCTGCCAGGAACTTGGAAGACCACTCGCTTTATAAGAATCCTGAAAGTCATTTGGTAGGAAAGGAGGCAGGGATTGAGCAGGGGAGGCATGAAAAGACATGGAAAGCAGAAACCATCAACATTATGCTTCCTAAATACCTGTCACCAGGCAGTTGGTAGGATACAGGTGGAACACTAATTCAGTGATACCAAGTGGAAAGACAGGAACAGATGAAATCCAAGACAGGTCTATGGAAGCTGATTGACAGACCAGCCTCACTGCAGACAAGAGCATATTCTCTGCAAGCTCACCACCTTAAACAAATTCATTTCCACAGGGTATGGGATTAATAACAGTATTGTTTTGTAAATAGATTACTGAGGAGCAACAGGACTAACCTACCATGAGGCCTCAGTGACTGCATAACCTGAAGTCCTGGGCTAACCCTGCCTACAGAAAGGCAGCAACTGGCTCCCAGAGATCAGCTCTGGAATACTGAAGCTGAGATCTGCAGCAGTGCTTCTGCTCCAGCAGATAAGATGTCCAACCAGACAAGAGAATAACTTCAAACACCACCAACAAAAAGAACAGCTTCTTAATACCTACTAAGTATACAAAATTAAAAGATACCAGGATGGAAGAAGCATGAAGACATCTTAAGATGAACTCTTTGAAAAGAAGTTAATCCTTTTAAAATAAAAACATAAGCTTATTTTGTACCTCAGGAACAGCTCCAGCATTGATAGGACTCGGAACTACTCAAATGATCAACATTTTAAGTTACATATTCTTTTTTTCCAAAGCAGTGCAAGAAGCTGAATTGCAGCAGAAGGAAAGAATCCCAGGTGACATCTATCTGTAGATTTGGTCCTTAACTACCAACAGGAGATGGATGAGAAGGTGCTACTCCCAGTCCATCTCTTAATTAGACTGCACAAAGCAATGCAAAATTTGAATTCCAACAGGTCATTTCCTACCTTGCCAAGCTACATTACTTGGCAGAGAAGTGATGCAATAAGGAGTCATTACTCAAGAAAATGAAATCCCATTTATTCACATGGCCTTGAGCATACTAAGTTATGCAACTTGGAGATTCCTAGGCAATGTGACATAGATTTGTACGTATTTCTCTTTCTGTGTTGCTTCTAAATGAACATCTTGAAAACAAACATAAAATCCAAGCTCATTAACACATTTGGCTTCTTTTTAAACTAGTCATTCCGAATTACCATCCTCAGATACGCAAGTATTCTTCTTCTTCTCACACTGTGAGATATGGGTGAAAGGGCAAGTCACACAAAACAATTAAAAACACAAAACATTGACAAATTCAAGGGGCTTAGAGTGGGGTTTCTTGAAGCAAAGTTCCAAAACAAACAAACACACACAACAAAAACAGCTACTACATTTGGTCTTGTTTGTGAAGTAATATTCGAAAAGACCTCTTTTAAACAAAGTTGCTTTGCAGATTAACATTTCTGAAAGTGCAAAAATCCCCTTTTTGTCTATCTCATTCTTTAAGGTCACTAAGTCCAGACCATCTGGATAATAAAGTTACCAACTTAGTTCCCTATTTATCTAATTAAAACTCCTGTACAGCTCATATGGAAAATTTGTCTACAGCTAAAAAACAACTGAAGTGTAAAAAGCAGCTGCAGGGAAATGATGTCACTGCAGGCAGAGCTGCCTGTCAGCACACTGGCACCAGGAAGATCCTGAGTTATTGTTAATCTCAGCTTTTGAGCCAAGTATCTTATTTGGAAAAACAAAACAAAAAAACAAAAAAATCAAACAATCCTCCCTCCCCCCCAAAAAACCCCACAAACAAAATTATATGGGCCTTTTAGCCAACTCCTACTCTCACTGAAGCATCAGTGGTAAATTTTCAGGAAGATCATGACTTCAAGACTGGTATTTTGTATCAATTTTTTTTGTACATAACTGGTCCATTTTCATCAGTAAGGATAAAAGGATGAACCTTTCGCTGCTTTCCCCCACCAAAAACACAAGCAGCAAAACTAGGCAAAGCAGACTCCTCTGTCACACACAGAGACCAAGAGGACTTGGTTTTGATATTTTTGATTGTTACATGTGTAAATGTAGGTGATGAAAAGACAGACATTTTTTCAGTCCAGCAGGTAGCTCATATTTCCACAACCATCACAGTTTTGCTGCCAGTGGGTAGCTGTTGCCAGTAATTACTTTTATTTTACAAGCCTGTTAAGGATAAATTCTCATAATTTTTTGTCATGCACCATACAGGGTCATGCACTCTTGTTTTTGGGCCAAAGACGAGTGCAAGAGAGGCGTTCTCTCCTTTCTAGGAGATCCTTCTCCATCAGAAGGAAAACAAGGAATAGATACTACTTTTAGAATCCTAAAGGACAAGGATTCAAGTCCTTTGGGTGAAGTTCCCAAACAATGCTCTAGCAGGTTACAGCTCTGCATCCAGATCTGGGACAAGCCCGTTCCCAGTAACCCCATTTGCAATAATTGAGCATCACCTTCCACCTGCAGTGTCTTCTGTCCCTCAGAAATCAAGGACTGCTTCCCCTCCACTCTGACAGAAAGAGGCATTTGCAAAATCAACAATAAAGACAACTGCCAATGCCTCTTCGAGATGTTCCACTCCTTCCTTATCAGTAAAAATACCACCAGAAAATAAACACTTCCCTACAAATTTTGACAGAGGTTTAAAAAATACCCTAAAATTCGTGTCACAACATACTAAGATGAAAGCGTGTAAAAAACGTAACATATTTAACTAGGTGCATTCCAAACAAAATATTATTTCATAGCACACACACTTCTGCTAGATCTGAATTATAACGGTGTCATAACCTGGAAACAAGTTTAACAAATTGTTGTACACAAACACTGTGAGTAATGCAGTAATGTTAGACCAAACAGCTCTTCCCAGACGATTTCAGACTCCTTATACATGTTTCTACACACATGCACACATCCTTAAGAGCATATCATATTTAATTTTTAATGGAAACATGTGTGCATATGTTGAATTTTGAATTCAACTGCTATCTTTTTGCTCCTAGATCACAGCCCACACTGGAGTATGACCCTGGTGTCCCAACTAAGTGTTACTTTTGGCACTGACAACACAATGCCATAATGCAGATTCAATAAATAAAATGACCCTATATTTTCTCCATAAACCAGTCACACAGACTGCCTCAAAATCCTGAGCCTGCAAGTCTATTTTAAAACTAAAATCTTTGACTATGTATCGTTGATACACTACAGCAATGAGCAAACTATGGGTGGTTTGTAACCAAGCTCAATTAACTTACGTGGTGAGAACATGCTCCCTGACTGAAAGCAGTTACTAAACATCAAAGTGTAATAAAAAGATTCACCAGTAATGCAGAGTACACTCTTCAAAACCAGTGAGAACTGCATTTTCATGAAAAGATGTGAGCAAACTTCTCTCAAACATTTTTCACTGTTTTACTTGCATTTTTCATGTCACTTCAGCCCACTTGAACTTAAGCAGTGCGTGAAATTATCTCTTTTCTTATAGCTGTTCACGTTTTTCCCTGAGTAATTAGCAAGCTACATCCCCTTTGACAGAGGGACACTAACAAGCTCCTACAGTTTCCAGTAGGACAAGGAATCCAAAGCTACTAATAGCAAACAAGTCATTTAAACAAAAAAGGATTACAAAGACTCGTTGCAAGAGGCTGGAAACTCACCCATATTTCAGATTAAGGCTTTCTGAGGAGCTCTTTTGTAAAGAGTTCTGACTCCATCTTACAAAAATATTTAATTGTTTTCTTTTAAAAACCAAAACATTGGTTTGAATATCTACTAATAACTTCTTTTTCGAAAATAATTACGTACTAGAAAGACTGAGAAGTGTTTTCCAAAGATAAAATGACAGAAACGTTCGTTTTGTAACAAAACCCCCCTCCGGACATCTCAAAGTTTAAAGAGAACAACAAGTTACACAAACTTTTTTTAAAAAAAAAGGTTTTCCACTCTTGGCTATCAGGACACCAAAACAAGCTGCAAGTCAAACCAGAATATTTGCAAAAATGTCACGGCCAAAAAAAAAAATCCCTGGAGCCACGCGACTGAAAGTGCGTTCGGACGAGCGGAAAGGCAGAGCGTACCTTGAGGACCTCCATGGGCACCTGGGTGGCGGGGGGCAGGCTGGTGGGCACGCTCACGTTGATGGCAGGGGTCTGGCTCACGGGCACCCGCTGCTGCATGAACTGGGCTGCTTGCTGCTTCTGCTGCTGCTCCCGACGCTCCTGCTCCTGCATCTGCTCACGCATGAGCTGCTGTCGTAGCAGGATTCGTGAGGTCATGCTGGAGGAGCTTAAGGGAGGCTTGGAAGCGCCAGGATGCTCGGAATTGCTGTGGGGAGACCAGAGAAAGACAGCTCAGCTTCCACCAAGCGGGATGGCGGCTCGGACGGCGGTCGGAGCCCGCGGAGTTGGAGCGGAGCGTGGGTGAGGACACGACGCCCCGCGCGAGGGGGAACACGGAGCCGACCTACTTGAGGTACTTAGCGGCCACATTAGGCTGCCTTAACTTGACTGCAGCCAACCATTTCCAAACGCCAACATCCAGCTGTAAAGAGCTACTTGCTCTTTCAAATTTTGCACTAACCACCCACAAGAAAAAACAAATGCTTTTATAGACAGGGGCAGGCACTCATATTCCTTCTTCTTAAGAAAGTAATAAAGGGCTTTCTGTAGCAAGTCTAATGATAATGTAGATAATAGTCAAGATCTAGCTCGAAAATAAATAAATAAAGTAAATCTACCTCTCCCATGAAAACACAACATAACAAAGTTCACTTATTTTTGCAAAATACTACCCTGGGGTTGGATTTGCTGGAGGTGACACACTTCAGAGCCAGAAACCAGACCACAAAAAAAACTCAACTCCCACCCCAGGCCTACCAGCATCTTCCAAGTGGAGTGACATACAAGAACAGGCAGAATAAACAACAGTAACAGCTTTATTCAAGTCATACTTTATAAAGAGCAACAGGCTGGCACACAGCACTGCTCTAACACCTAAGGGCTACTTCTATGCCATTGGCAAGCAGAGGCTGGGACTGAACATTGGACTTTGCCATGGAGTGCAGGGACACCTTTTGAAGCAACTCATCCTTTTCTCAGCCCACAGAACTAAAATTCATCTCTGTAGCGTAAGGCAGAACAATTAGGGTATGCAAATACCAACCTGCACATCCTTCAAGGGAAGGATGTTGGAAGTGGGTAAGAACAGATGACTCCATACAAGAAAGAGCTACAATGTGCATAATTCAGCATATTTGGGTTCAGATTCTGCTGGCTGCCGTCAGCCCATGGAAGGACACAGCTCATTGGGCTGTCATGATGCAGGGCCATGCCAGCAGTAACCCTCCCATTCTAGGAGGAAGCTGCTCTTGAAAACCCCACTTCTGGCTCCAGTGCTTAGGTGGTACCTGCAGGATGCTGGCAGGACACAGGAATCTGGGAGCCAACATCCCTTCCAGGTCTTGCTCAGAGGCTGCAGGCACGGAGCACTGCTTGTGCTTGGGCAGCTGGAGCCAGATCTGCTGGAAGTTTTGCAGCTTTGTTTAGGACTGATGTTGCACACAGTTCAGGGTAGAAACAAAAAAAAAAAAAAAAGGAGAACCCACACTTACTGCCCCAAGAGATCAAACTCTGCTCTTCCAGAGCACACATTTTGGGGGCAGGGAGGCAGGGGACCATCTTGCTATTTAAGACCTGTCAGGTTGAAACATTCACAGAGACACTGATCCTTTTGATAAAACAAGAGAAAACCTTTGTGGTGAAACTAATGCAGCTGTGGAATAATCGTACTAATTAGCTGCTCAAGACAAGTCATTGACTGTGATACTTGTAAAAAACACTCCCTTTTCAATTAGGGGTGAAGCGTTCTCACATCTAAACCCAGCAGCTTGTTTTCTGGCTGCAAATCTGAACCACTTTTGCATTTCCAACCAGAGGAGACACTTTATTTCCATGACTACTATAGTTAGAGATCAGTGGCCTCCCAACTTTTTTGATTACACGTTCCTAACAGGAATGTTTGAGCATGCATCCCCAACATATGTTTATTTGTTTATTTATGAACTCTATACAAGTATTACTGAAGTGATAATATTTTCCTCCTGCCCACTACTGTGCATCCCACTATGGGGACCACTGTAATATCTGAGCAAAAAAAGGCAGTCAAATGCTGCTTTCAAGGAAGGATTCATTGTCCTTATGTTGAAGAAAAGCAAATTATGTATCACACTGAACAGTGTTCTCATTTGTGTGCTACTTGCTCATTTTTAACAGATACTTAATGCTGCAAAATTGGTAACCCAGCAGTTCCTCCCACCTCCTTTCATTTTGAACTGTTTCTCCGCCAACCAAAGCCAAGTGTGCTGGGAACCATCTCAGAAGAACCTTCCCATGTACTGAAATTTTGGGGAATGCGAGGGAGAAGAAAGGAGAAGTCATTTCCACTACATTTCAAACAGTCCCTGCCAGGAACCCCATCTCACTCACACAACTATTGTACCTGCTCAGACCAACAACTGTCCTTCCAGCTTCCTGCCGGTGATTCAGGGTTCTGCTGTTGATTGAAAATTGTCAACAAAAGCTTCAAGTATCGCATCTTTGAAAGAGACAACAGTCTCAGAAAATGCTGCTCTGCCAAATTCTTCCCCAAAGGGCAGAGACACTTCCAGGTTTTATTTCTTTTGCAATTCTGCTCAATATTTTACATGATATAGAGGCACACAAGCCCTGAACGCGGGCCGTGCTGGCAGGCACGTGCTGCCAGATTGCAGTTACTGCCAAAGAATCATGGAATTGTTTAGGTTGGAAAAGATCTCCAGATCATCAAGTGCAACCGTTAACCCAGCCCTTTGAAGTCCACCACTAAACTCTGTCCCGAAGAGCCACATCCACATGTCTTTGGTGACTCAACCACTTCCCTGACAGCCTATTCCAGAACTTGACAATCCTTTCGGTGAAGAAATTCTTCCTAATATTCAATCTGAGCCTCCCCTCGCACAACTTCAGGTCATCTCTTCTTATCCTATCCCTTGTTACCTGGGAAAAAGAGATGGGCACCCAACAATCACACCATCAATGCAGGTGAGTTCAAATGCCCATCTTCCTTTCTCCACCATGTCTGCTCCTCTTCTCAAGCACAGAACACTCCGAAGCAGAACAGAAGATAATTTGGGTTTCATCATAATATACACTCCACAGAGCAAACAGTAGGTTTGCCAGAAACTCACTTTTCCAACCAAAAAAGCAATTAAAAACTTGTTATTTCAAAGGCTTCATCAGGAGAATTTTGGAAATGCATCTTTTCAAAGCTTCTTGACCTCTACGTGCTGCCCCACGGGCAGATCTCCTCCCGTGATCAAGCTCTGTGCCATGTACCACAGTACAACCCAGAACTGGGCATGTGGATTCAAAACTCCCATCCATGAACTGATTCACCCCCAGATCATGCAGAGTCGGTAACAGAGCCCACACACACAGCTGATACATGATGTGATTTAGATACTTCCTGCAAACTGTTTATGGAAACACATCTAATTGCAATAAATGAAACCGACTCATCCCTTTAATTGACACATGATTAAACCAGTTATCCATTAGCAGTGTAATAAACACAGTGTAGTACAGACTGGGAGTTATTAGTTATGTGTCAAGTGCCGATCCAGTTAATCATGAAGTGATAACATTTTATTAAATAAGTTTAAATTACATATCCCTTGCACAGATGCCTGGGAAATGTTAGTTACTGCACAGGAGTTATAACACAGGTGGTTGTTGCATAATAAAAGGCAACTGATCAGATTAAGATCAAGTTTGATTTTGTTACCATCGACTCCAGAGATTACAGAGACCATACCTCTTAGAGCCTAATCTACCTTCCCCGATATGTACTGATTATTTTATCTACCTCCTTGGGCAAAAAGACAAACTCATCGTCTGTTGGCCAGTTTTGTTTTCAGATTAATATAAATTTATCAAACCAGCTCTCTGGTTCACATGCATTATTTAAATGAGTTGTCTGGTTTACAAGTATTATCTTGCAACAGCTACGAATTTGTTAAGAAACTTCTCTGGTGATTTTCAACTGGAAAAAATCTTTAACTCATCTTTGCTTTTTAACTGCTGTTTAAAAATTATTTCAGAAAAAAAGAAAAACCTCCAGTGTAAGGTTTCTTAGACAAATTACAATAAATAAAGCACAGGTCAACCCCTCAAAACCCAAGCTTTTTTTTCCTCAACAAGAGATGAACAAGAGGCAAACAAGCAAAAAAATAAAATAAAAAAAAAAAGCCCACTTGCTTTGGGCAGGATGTACTACCCTGCTCCAAACAGAGAAATGGCACACAAGAGGGAGGCTGCTGCTCTCCTCCATTCATGCCAACTGTTTGTTAATGGGGTAGTCCACAGAGAAATCAGCCAAGTAAAGCAGATTTAGCACCTCAGGAAATCCACTGAGCTGTACCAGATCTCAGAAGAAATAACAAGGGATTTAAACCCTTGTGTTAATTTCTTACCCTTATCTCATTCATAATTATTTATAGAGAAAAGAAAGGCATCCACATTGAAGTATCCAATATTAGCATAAAATGATCTTGATCTTTAAAGCAAGCAGACACGAGGTTGCCAATGCTACAACTCAAATACTTGGGTGGACCTCCAGAAGGCATTTTCAGAAGAGACCACTCTACAACTCCCTTTCCCACACCCCTCCTGTTCCATGATCATTAGAGTTTCCTCAAAAATTGATTTATCCAAGTTCCGTTTTTAGTCTCTCTACCAAGCAGTAAAACCTTTTTATTCCCCAAACTAAATATGTAGGTGAGGCAACAACGCTTGCAACAACATCTAACCTGCCAGCCAGCACCACTGTTTGCCTCAGAGAGGGGTGACAGAAAAGGGAGTAACAAAAGAAAAAAAAAATAAATGCAAAGAGGACCCAGATTATATAGATCACAGCACCCTCCAAATAAAAGTCTAAAAGAAAATACAGAAAGTCCACAAAGAACAGAAATACTCTACACAATCCCTTCTCCCCCATCCTCAGCCAAGGTAAGGGATTCCAACTACTACAGCATTTTCCCTGGAGCACTTTGTACTTCATTCCTAACATTTAATAATTGATTGTGGGTTACAGCGACACTCCACTCACCGTGCCAACTGCCTGGCACTGCTCGAAGTATCAATGCAGAAAAAAACAAGCCCAAGATTTGGCACCTTTGTATGTCCTGACTTGCCAAGGACGGAGCAGTTACAAAAACGGTGTGGAGACCTTTATCAGCCTTTATAATAAAGCCAGGACTGTGTTTCAGGCCTCTACAGGAAAGGTTTCTG